ATAATATTTGTATATACATGTAAATACCAAATAGTTAAAAAAATCAATTCAAAGTAATTATGAAAACAGGACTGGAAAGCTGAACGTATTCTACTTGTAATCTGTGTAAAGTTTCTTTGTAATAAAGGGGACAGTACTGAAAGCATTGCAAGAACAAGCAAAATTCAACAATATTCCAATGATACTCCATAACTTTTAGTAATCTTAGTAGAGTTTGTGTAACAAATATTTTTGAATGTTTCTTTGACAGCTAATTTCACTATGAAAGTCTGTTTATCTAAGCTCATAATAAAATCCCATATATGAAACATGCCCTCTTTGTGGGAATCCTTACCTCTGGAGTGCATTTATCCAGTGGCTGTTTTTGAGCAAACCTGTGCTTAGCAGCCTGCAAAACAGGATAAAGTCAACCTGCATGCCAGATACCAATACATGGATTCAATAAATACTGCACAACCCCCCAAAGCAGCAACTTTTGTTGAACAAGCAAAACATTCCACATAAGTTTCCATTTATATTTACCTTTTTAATATGCAGATGGCAAAATTATGAAACAGAGGGCTAGTAACCTAAAATCAAAATAATTGGGCAATTTTTCTCCCTATTTTTCCTGTTATTCTCTCTTTTCTTTATGTGGTTGCTCTGCAAGAACAGTTTCACTAGATTTAAAATATTAAGTGTTTTCAGTTTTTCCATGGTAAAATGAAAACTTGGATTACTCTTGCTCGTTAGCTCTCATGTGAAGATATGGCAGTCCATGCAAAAACGTGTTACTGTTATTGCTATATTTAGTTGTGTCCTAATGTTAAAAACTTACTAACACACGTTACCAAAGGAGTTTTTCAGCAGAGATTGTCTTTAGGATTATGACTACTCCATCTGTACATAACCACAGAATGGTTTGAGGGAGAGATAATCCAACAGTAAGTGCACTTGTGACGTGTAGTATACACAAAAAGTCAACATCAAATATTTTTTGAAGGTCTGGAGGGTGTAACCTTGATCAAATGTCACTGATAAAAGATGTAATGTGTGGAGGTGTATGAATTTAAGCAACATCAGTGCTCTATTTCTTAATCTTGAGTTTAAGCATTGTGCACACTGAGGATTTAAAACCTCTAATTCTCCTGCTACTAAGAATTTATGTTAATGTACATAGATGACCTGATCTTGCAGCTACAACATTGTACAGTGCTACAAAAACACTTAATACCTCATCATCTGCACTGCTGTAACTCACAGCAATAATACACCCTAACTTAAAGTAATTGTTTTTGCTAGATATTAAATGTTTTTAGTTACTAATGTAGCATATTTACCAGGATTATGTATGTGACAACATTAAACAAAGGAGTGTATTTAGTTCTGTTTTGTACTTGTAATAAAAAACACTCATATGAATCAAGAAAATACTTGCTCTGGAATATGGTTACATCTTGAAATCTCTTGGTGTAATTCAGGTAGATAACAGGAAGTCATAGAAAGACTGTATTCCTGTTGAACAATATTAGCTAGTACTTATCTCATCCATTACCCCAAGATTTCAAGTATTCCACCACATCTTCTACACCCCATGCTTACCAGTTACCACAACTAAATTATACTTTAGCTAAAGATAAATATGGGATTACTAAACACTGCAGTTTAAAAAGCATCATTACTATTTCAATAGATGCTATCTATTAGCTTAGTACTGTAATGAAAGATAAATTTAATAATATACATTCCATATTTTATGCTAAGAAAGCATTAAATGATTATTACTTACCACAGTAAAATACATGTGTTTTATAACAGCATTTTTAATATCAGCAAGAGACAAGCTAGATATGACTTGGTCTGCTCCTTGTGCAGCCAGGTTCATTTTGGTATCTTCAGTATTTTGTATTTTATTCTGTGCAGAGGGAAAAAAAAATCCCCACATTTTTAGTTTCAAAGCTAATGCTCTACACCAGGTTTTATGTCCTAACTCTTTCTATATATTCTGTTTTTAACTGTTGTGTGCCATAATTCTTGAATTATGTGCCAGATAAACAGCTGGTGGACTGGAAACAAACCACTGGTGTTGCAGGAACCTATAGCACAGGAATTATCACTGGAAGCTTCCCTATAATTGTTTTTCCTGAATATAACTCTTACCAGTCCATTTAACTCTGACCCACTCTGGGTGAAACAGGAACTGTGTTTCCATAATGGATTCTCCCTCTGGCCTTTTCAAAAAAACCCAAAGCCTACATCTTTTCAAGTGGTCAAAAATATAGTAAGGACTTTAAGATATTTTTTCAGCAATTTTACTTTGACTGTGCATTCATTTCTAGAGGCCACTACAATGAAATGGTTTTCAGTTCCTGTTTATAACCCTAAAGTAAACAAGCAATTTAAAATGTGTTTTTGTTTTGTTTTAAATTATTTATTTAGTGATCTATTCTATTAGTGATTTATTTACTCATTTATACTGTAGTTCATCCTATCATTTCCAGCTATTTCTTCAGCACAGGGAATGAGGAAGAGTTTCTCAAAACTGTTTCCCAACTCATTCTGAAAAGACTCAGTAAAGCTACAAGGTAATTTTTGTTAGTAAAAATTTACTAAAAAAAAAATAAACTTAGAAGTTATTTCAGGATATGAGGACAATGCATTTCAGTAAGTTTCAACAGACCATTTCCATCAGAGATGCACAGACAAGGAAGAAAACACTACCTTTGCTTAGGCAAATACATGTGTAAGCACCAAACCAGCCTCCTCCTGCAGTGTGAGGAGTTAAAACACAGATACAGGTGAAGTGTTCTCCTTGGTCACAGCACTGACCTTCATTTTTTATGGGGGGCAGGTGTGGAAGGCTTGGGGCAGCTTGCCTTATAATTCTAACACCTAAAC